TGCTGGTTTGTGTGTGTGTGTTGTAGAGGTTTGTGTGTTTGTGTGTGTGTGTGTGTGTGTGTGTGTGTGTGTGTGTGTGTGTGTGTGTGTGTTCTAAAGGGGGAAGGGCTTCTGTGAGGAAAGATGGTGTTCTTCCTCCAGAGGGCTGCGCGGACAGGACACCCGTCCGGGCTGCAAACTGTCAGCGCTGGGCGCTGCTCCTGTTCTCAGGTCTCAGCGAGGCCGCTGCCCTCTGCGGCAGACGGCGGTGCGCGCTCCCCGCTCCAGCACCAGGCTGGCCCGGCAGCCCGCGCGCTCTGCCGGTGCAGCATGCGGGCGCTGTGACGTTCTCGGATAAATGCCGTGTAACTGTGTAGGCGAATGGGAGCTAAAAATAAGAACGGAAAATCTATCATTAAGGTATCATTGCGCCAGCGCAGCTATTTGAAGGCTCCCATGGTCCCCGGCGCCTGCGTTTGAAGCCCGCCTTCAGGCTTCAGGGGTATTTGCTGAAAACTCCCAGCAGCGGCTTGCCAGCCAGACCTTAGGGTTCACCGGGTGATGCCGGTAATTATGGCAACGCTCAAAATGGAATAAAATAAACGGTCACCTCTACCCTCCCAACCTAACCCCGGTATTCTCAGATCGCCGGCGAAGCTGTGGGGGATAGGACTTAAAACTGAAAGGCATGAGACCCGAACGGTTATGCAAAAACTAGAACATATCCCATCCCTTTCGCCATCTACCTTTCTCCATCCACCTTGGATTAGAAAAATAAATTACTGGAGGAAGGGGAGTGGAGGCTTTAGGAGAGAAAAATGACAAATGGGGCTTACCCTAGGTCTAGAGTGCGCCGCGGCGGTGCGCAAAGAACGCAAACTCCGGGGATGGTGAGTCTCCGGGGTTCCATTGGATTGAACGAAAATTGATCTGATTTGATTTAGAACACCCCAAGTGGAGAAGAGGAAGACAGGGAGAGAGGACGAGGTGTGTGTGTGTGTGTGTGTGTGTGTGTGTGGGTGTGTGTGTGTGTGTGTGTGTGTGTGTGTG